TGTATTATTATAAGGTATTTATAAAAAAGATATATTAAGTATATATAGTAATAGTGTGTGTGTGTAATATATATCTATCTAGAGATAGATATATATATATACAGATAGATATATATATATACACAGTATATATAGAGTGGCAGAGATATAAATAGAGATTCATATATAATAGTTAGAGAATACTCTTATTTTTGTTACCAGGATGACCACCTCAAACAGGTTTCCCCCCCCTGAAAGATGGAAACCTTTACCAACAAAGCCAGCCAGTAAAGAAACATCCCACCGTGGGTGTCAATGACCCAATGGGCAGTGTAAAATGCAGGGAAAAGGGTTAAGGACACCATGTTGCTTTAAAGGAGAACTATGAGCGGGGGGAGGGGGGTGCTTTTCACTCACCTCATAGTTCCAGCCGACCTGTGACAATGAGACTGTCCCAGGTCAGCTCAGTAGATCGGGAGGTGAGCGAACACATATTGGCATTTGCTCACCTCTCGATCCCGTCACGGCTCTCTGCCGTGACAGGGGAGGGGCTGGATTCCCCCCCCTTCCCGCTCTGATCCACCAGCACTGACTGGCGGAACGGACGGGGGTGGGTACAGCTGGCTCTGCCTCTAGATAGGCAGAGCCAGCTGTCAGTCACACAGCTGGGCGGATCCAGACAGAATTGTCAGGATCCGCTTCAGCTGCGGCGTCTCAGTATACCGCGAGCTGTAGCTATACTACCTATACTGAGCTTAGGGTGACGGGAGGACGCTAGTTTGTGTCCTCCCGTTACCCTAAGGAGAACTATGGGGACAAGCCCTAACCCCCATAGTTCTCTTTTAAGGAAGGTACTTAAGGAAGACATACCTGTTAGCGAAGAGTGTATATACTTAACTCTCCTGCCCATATCCCCCCCAACACCATTCTCCAAAGGCTGGTGGGAAACCAATCTCCTGGTCTCGCCACAACCTTTATTGGTTGATTCTGCGGATCTCCATGTCACTGCTGTGTCCTGTAATGGGTGGAAGTCAGAGGGAGAAACTAGTGAGAGCTGTTGGGGGGACCCATGAGATCAAACACTCCCAGAAGTGTCCACCAGACATCTGGAGACCATCATCTTTGAAGGGAGCAGAGTTCACGTTTCCTTTACAGATATATCTTACTTGAGTAATGTTTTTACAGCAACGGGGTCACTAAGAATCTCCCGAATAGGAACACAAACTATAAACACCCAACAGAGGCTTTAACCTTACCCCATCCAGTCCATAACTAACTATAAAGCTTGGTATGGAGTTAGGCTTTGAATGTGGCCACCTTAACGATTGTGGAGATGGTTGGCGTTGACAATTGTACTTTAGTGAATTACAGTCAATGAAGATATGGTTCAGTCTAACGCATGTGTTTCCACGGTGCAGGTATCGCAGTGGTCTCCTGCTTGCCTTTGGTAATTGGCAAGCAGTTATTAATCGTGGTGGGCCAGTTATTTGGCGGCACTTACATCTACCGCCGGGACCTCTCCCCTGGAAGCGCGTCTACATTTCGCCCCTTCCAGCACTTTCCGGACATCCGCAAGCCCAACGACATCGAGAGCTTCAAGTCCACCGAAGGGGACCTCTACTTCATCGTCGCGGACAGTGCCAAGTCTGGTGCCAGCACCCTCTATCGGTGGAACGGTTTGGGGTTCTACCCGCATCAGCAGCTGCCTCGCTGGTACCGTGACACGGATGCAGAGCCCCTGATGCTCTCCGGTTCCCCACATCTGATCATGAGCAGCGGCTCCCAGAGGCCTCTAGTATATCGCTTTGAGAACAAACGTTTGGAGCGCCTCACAGATATTCCAGAAGCCTGGGACGTCTACGCCGTCAAACACTTCACCGACGCCGAGGATGGCGTGTTTGCTTGCCTGGTGAGATACATGGGAGAATCTTCCTTGGTCAGGTGGGATGGGTCCATGTTTAAACAGCTGCAGCAGTTGCCATCTAGAGGTTCCCACGTCTTCCAACCTCTTCTCCTCGGCCGACGCTGGCACGCTCTCCTGGGCAATGACTTTGGCTACGCCTGGGTCTACCAGCTCGAAAAATGGAAACACTGGGAAGTCGAGGAGACCAATGACAAGGAAGGCTCTTCGGGGCCTTTGGTGCCCTTGCAGGAACTCAAAGTGTTGGAAGCCAGAGCTTTGACCACGGTCCACGTGCACGGGAGGGAGTTTCTGTTCGTGGCAAGCTTCGGAGGGGACACGGTGGTGTACGAGTATGTGGAGAAAGAGAATTTAATATGAGCTTGTCCGGGCAAATTTACTAAAACAAGGCCTAAAAGTCAACAGGACCTCGTAATGGAAGGAAAGCCACCACACAACCACTATACTGATCACCAAAGACGCTGTATTTTTTTAATTAAACAGATTTATTTTTCACTTTCAATATAAAGACGCCGAAAAGAACCTCATTTTCTAAAAGTATAACAAACGCTTTGCTTTTACATCATCACAGTAAAGTCAAGTCTTAAGGATCAAAACCAAGGACTGGGATGGGGTCAGGAAGACCTCACCCAACCATAACCTCAAATGAAATGACGAGTCACCTGATTGGTTAACACAGCTAATAATGCAAACCTAACAAGAGATGATACTTTGTATTTTACATCTGTTCTATACATAAACTCGATCCTTCATATATTGAAATAATGTTGCAATCTTTTCAGATAACCGTTACATCCTGACAGCCATTAAAGGAGAACTATGGGGTCAGGGCTTTTCCCCATAGTTCTCCTTAGGGTAACGGGAGAACACAAACTAGCGTCCTCCCGTCACCCTAGGCTCAGTATACCTCGAGCTGTGGCTCGCGGTATACTGAAACAGTAGAAAGGTATCATGGCACACTCACAAACCAGCATGTAAAACAACTTGTCTCACCACTAAGGTCAATAACAGAGGTTTGGATACACGTCTTCTGCAGAGGATGTGAAAGCCGCACAGCCGCGCCAAGGCACCTCTTATAGTGCTCTAAACTATGAGAGTCTCCATTTTGGAGCACATGGGGGCAGAAGATTTCAAATTGAGTGCAGGTTTGTCAGGAGGAAGCCCAGCCTCCTTAAAGGCACAGAAACACACGTGTGCACCTTACTGTATAACTGGTGACAAATTGTTGAATGCGTTTGTCATTTGTTTTCCTTTGCGGTATACTGAGACGCCGCAGCTGAAGCGGATCCCGACAATTGTGCCGGGATCCACAAAGCTGCGTGACTGACAGCTGGCTCTGCCTATCTAGAGGCAGAGCCAGCTGTACCCACCCCCTCCCATTCCGCCAGTCAGCGCTGGAGGATCGGAGCGGGAGGGGGGAATCCAGCCAACACAGATAAGAAATAAAAACCTGACATGAGTTTTATCCCTTCCACATGCCGTCCAAAATGGAAAAAAAAAAAAAGTTTTGACTTTAGATACTTTAAAAGCAGATTAATATAATATATTGATTGTAAGGTGTATGCTTGCTCTATGGGAAGTACTGATCCTGCCTGTTGGGGAAAATTTGCCCCTCACTGCCTCTTCTGGTGACAACAATGTTTCTAATACAGGAAATGATGATAAATCCTCAACAGGGACACAGGCGCCAAAAGAAACATTCAAATAAGGGGGAGCCTGACAAATAATCATAGGGAGATTTTCCCTCACTTCCTGTCCTGGTCAAGATGTTGTCACCAGGAGAAGACAAGACTTCAGGCAGCAATAAACATGGAATAAAGCAAAAATAATTTCACAGCATTATAAAAAGGCATCATGGTGATACATGTAAGCTTTTTTTAATATATAGCACCAGTGACATTCAGAAATTGTAACAAGTGGTCACTATGGACATTATCAGAAGAATATACATATAGGTGTAGAATATAAAGATACAAGGAGGTTACAAAATTCCCATTTTTAGCAGAGCGGACTTTGCCCATTTCCAGCTATAAATCAGGAGAATGCTGCCACCGTGTGGACATATTAGAGTAGTGCGCACAGTCCTATCAAGTCTAGTGTACTCAGCGCCTTGTTCGATGAAAGCTTGCCCAAAGTCATATAACTGAACAGGTAAACACAACATTGGAAAGATTGTATCCTCACAGCACTGAAACAAGACCCAATAAAGTGGAAAATGTAGGAAAGTGCATGAGAAATAAACGAATAGTATTTGTTAAAGGGGCCATACGTATTACAAGCCGAGTGTACACTTCACTATAGATCTAACAAGAACTGCATAGTACAAGGACCTGCCTGATTGGATAGTTTTGAAAGGTCCTCATATTATGTGTGTTTGGTAAATCTGAAGGCAGTACAAGCAGGTTTGTAGCGTGTATGGTGAGCTGTAAGGAAACCAGTCCTATGCAGGGCCGGATTTCCCACAAGGCCAACCAAGGCCCGGCCTTGGGGCAGCAGGGAGTTGAGGGGCAGCAGGGGTGTGGAATTCCTATCTCCCGATGCCCGGGGCATGCAGTTCCGGGCGCCTGGCGGATAGTAGAGCGAGCAAACCTGGCCCTGGTCCTATGAGAAACAGGGGATGCCCGGCAGCCATCTTGAATAGTTTTTTATCTCAGACCCAGAACAAACATGGACATAAGAGGGGTTGACTTTCCTGATCTGCATGCTTGCTCCGAGTCATTGACTTAAACTACCGAAGCCAGACAACCGGACAACCAGGCGCCAACGATATGAGCAGGAGCAGCACTGGTTTGCTCAACTACCAGAAATAGAATTCCCGTCTTTACAGGGACAGTATAGAGACAGTATAGGGACTTCACACAGCCATTTGCATAGCAGAACCAACTGTTGTCACCATATAACAGGAAGTGCCTGAACAAGGATCTTCATGGGATCACCAGGGATTATTATAATGAAGTGTCAGATATTAAAATATTGTAAATAGACAGTTATGACATTAGGGCTCATATGAGATATTAGCCATTGGGCTTACATCTACTTTAACAGTCCACCACAAACAGCTATGGCAGGAATGGGGGGCGCCAAAACTGCTGTCTATGGAATGCTCACACAGAGGCACCATTCCCTTTTACCTTCGGCTCCTTCGTGGCAACAAGGAAAACCTGAATATTTCCCACTGGAAGCCAAAGAGGCTTCTAGAGCCCGCAAAACCATCAGAGAACACGACAGCAGACACGCACTTCTGGCAAACTTCTTAAATTTGAGAGTCCGCACTCGGCTCAGCCAACCAGATTTATACATCGAGCGCTGGTCGCGCGACGTATACCAGGCAGGAATACGGGGAAGAGTTCAGTTTTATCTTCCCGCCTTCGATCTCTCTTCCCGCGTCTTGGCTACATCCGCTTTTTACCGGTCACCAGAAAGGCAGCACTTGGGGAGCCGAGTCCTGAACTTGGAATTCTGTCCTTCCACCGCCGCCTGAAAAGTGTAAAAAAATTAATAAATGACGGGGTGGTCACGTAAGAGAGACACTGAACACCGCCCAAAACTGCGTGGTTTACCCCAAGGAATTATAACACATGCCCAAAAGTCAACTGACCGTCACACATGAGCTTGCTGGACATCCCATCCCAAAATCACGGGCATTAATATGGAGTTGCCCACCACCCCCAAATGGCCAATAATACGGAATTGTTACCTCTGTGACCATTAATATGGAGTGTCCCCCCTCCCCCCCCCCATAGGCCTTAGCCCTAACCTTTAATATAGAGTTGAATTCCCCCAATAGCTATAAATATGGACTTGCCCCCCATGGATCTTGGCCATAGCCATCAATATGAAGTTGCACCATGCACCCCCAATAGGGCCAATAATATGGTGTTGTTACCTCTGTGACCATTAATATGGAGTGTCCCCCCTCCCCCCCTTGGCCTTAGCCCTAACCTTTAATATAGAGTTGAATCCCCCCA